GGAGAGGGGCCGTGTCTGGGACTGACCCCCCACCCAGGCCTCCCTCTGGAGCGGGAAAGGGGCCAGTCTGGGAGTGTTCCCCCCGGGTCTTCCTCCTCTGGGAGTGGGAGAGGGGCCGTGTCTGGCCGTGACCCCCTACCCAGGCCTCCTGCCTCCTGGGGCCGGAGAGGGGCCGTGTCTGGGAGTGACCCCCCTGGGCCTCCCTCCTCCTGGAGGTGGAGAGGGGACATGTCTGGGAGCGACCCCCCCAGCCTCCTTCCTCTGGGGTCAAGGGCACCTGAACATGGCAATGAGTAGGTTCATGAGAAGCACGTTGGTGACCAGCAGGAAGGTGACCAGCAGGAGGATGACCAGCCAGTTGGCGTAGAGGCTGGGGCAGGAGGGCGAGTCCTCCAGCAGGAGCGGGTGCGCCGAGCAGTTCACGCGGGCCTCTGAAAGGTGGGCGGGTGCTGGGGCCTGGCCGGGCCAGGCAGCCTTGGGCACGCGCCCTGTGATCCAAGAGCTGGGCCCCAGGGTTGAGGCCACCAGGGGTGCTAGCAGGTGACTCTCTGTCCTGGCCTACCTGGGATCGACCAGGTTTTGGCGTTGAAAGCCCCATCCTGGGAAGCCCTGGTCCTGGCAAAAGCCTGGCGTGGGTGGGCCCTCCCACCTCTGGGGGCACAGCCAGACCACAGGCCCTGGAGGCAGAGCCAAGAGCATCTGGGGGTTGGGAGGAGGTGGCCGGAGGAGTCACAGACTCAGATTTCTGGTTTGTTTGCGTGGACTAGCCCCTCTGCACCTCCTCCAACAAGAGGATCTGCTGTGGGCTTGGGGAGACCAGCCTGGGAAGGGGAGAAGTGTCCTCACTGCAGGACTTCTCAGAGCCTTTACCACACGAGCCTCTGTTCAGAGCCTTTGACAGGGCTCCCTGCAGGCACTGAGGGCACCAAGCCACGCTGGGCCGCTCGGGCTGAGGAACATTCTCCAGGTAGTGCCGTCTGGGAGCTTGCAGGAGCTCTCTGGACGGGCGCACCCACCGGAAGGCCAGGCCCAGCACCCCAAGGGTCCCACAGATCACCGCTCCAGCCCTGAGAACAACCCTCACCCCACTTCCCCCCACAGGTCCCAGCCCTGGCCCCCCATGGTTCCCTTCTCATTCAAAGGGATCCCCACTTCCCAACCCCTAGGCTGTGTGCGAGCGTGTCTGCGTGTGCATGTCTGAGTGTGTTCATGTGTAAGTCTGTGCACGTCCGTAGGACTCTGTGCCTGCCCGTCTGGGTCTGGGGCTGTGATTGACTCCTGCCACCCTGCCGTGGGCTCTGGGTCTCGCAAGGTCCCCCGCATGTCCCTGTGGCCCTGCCTCCATGCCTGTGTCCAGCTGCAGGGCCTGTCTCCCTCGTTTCTCCTTGGTGAGTTATTGTGCCACGGCAGCCCTGGGTGAGTTATTGAGTGTTTGTGTGCGTGGGGGAGGGGGTCCTGCAGCAGTCAGAGCGCGCCAGCCCCCGTCCGCCCCTGGCCGCCCAGCCCCCAGCCCATGAATCTGCTCCGGGGCTGATTCACGACCCTCTGTCTCCTCCCGGCGCCCTGGAGAGGCCGCCGGGGCCAGCCTGGAAAGTGTGTTTGTGCAGCCGTAAATCTGCCTGATAAATGTGGCTCCGGGGTAATGAGACCCCTGTGCCCTCCCCCACCCCGTGATTTGAGAAGGCGCCACCAGGCCGGGCTGGAAATTAAATTGTCCCTGGGGCCTGGAGCCCAGGAGAACGTGCCCGTCATCACGGCTCAGCCCCGCCCGGCCTGGCACTGCAGAGGGGGAGGGCAGGGCACGGCCTGGGCCCCTGGGAAACTGCAGGCTATGGGGAGTCCAGCCTCCGTTTCCCTCTCAGCCCGGCACGTGTGAGTGAAAAACTCTCCACCCGGCTCACAGCAGACAAGCTGTGGGCCGGAGAGGGGGTGCGATGTGAACAGGGCCGCGTGGCAGCCAGGCTCCCCCCGCTGAGAACGCCGCGGCGGCCCCACGAGCCTCTCTGAGTCTCCAGTTCCTCTGCTCCCCAAGCTGGCACTGGTCTTTCAGGACGAGGGCCTGTGTCCAGGCCTGTCCTCTCCTACTCCTGGCTAGGGCTGGCTGGCCAGAGATGCAGCCACTCGGGAAAGAAAGGCCCCCAACCCCGCATGGCTGGAGGCGCCCGCCCAGTCGCCCCTGCTCCGCTCCCCTCCCCCCGCCAGGCCGCCTTAAAGTGGGGGCCGGGGGGCTGGAGCAGGGCAGGGTCTGGTTTAACTAATGGCCTGGAAAACCATCGGTCTGTGGAAGAGCAAACACCAGAGTGTCACAGGGGGCAGGGGTGGGGGGCTAAGCAAACACCCCAAGGAAATGCACCCTGGGACGCTCAATTAGGTGATTTCCATGACAGCCGGCCATGGCCCAGGGCCTGCTTGCCTGTCTCACTGTCCTCCCAGCTCACTCATCCACAAACATTCCCGCTAGACCCGCGTTGCCCTGGCCATACTGGCCGGCTCCATGGAGGTCAGGTCAGGGCCGGGCAGCGCACTGGGCCGTGACTGCCCTGCGGCCCTAGCCTGGGACGGCAACCTGAGCGGGTGCCTCCCCGTCCCCCTGTGCCTGCTCCGTGCCTCGTCTCTGGGCCGGTGGCACCCCAGGATTCCCAGCCGTCCCAAGGGCCTCCATCCAGCACCACTGAGACCCCCACAGCCAAGCGGGTCTGTCCCCCCACCATCACTGCGCCCACTCATCATGAAAACCTTCCCAGAGCCTCCTCCAGTCCCAGGCAGGGACAGGGGCCGACGTGGGGACACCCGTGGGCACTGCCCAGCCACGCACACACATTGGGGTCGGACCCCAGAAGGAGCTGAGTGCCTTCCGGAGGGGCCTCTGGTAGGAAAGGTATGCCTGGCCCAGCCGGACCCGGCGGAAGGCAGAAGCCAGGACACAGGCCAGCCGAGGGGCCCAGAGGCCAGGCCATGCCAGGGCAGCCCCGATGCCCCACGGGGGCCCACAGCCCCCACCCATCCCTCTGCCCAGAGACCCCTGCAGCAAGACCCCTGCAGAGACCCCAGCCAAGACCTGAGGCTGGCAGGGTGGGGGGCTGCTGGGGGCTCCATGCCCAGAGCTGCCTCTGCCCCGAGTCTGGCCTGGCCCTGCAGGGACCTGGGGGGGGCGGTGCT